GTAAGCGTCCGTCCCGCAACCTCCCGCCCTCCTCATGAATATACAAGTTAAGGCCACTCCTGCTACACTAGTGGGAGCCTACCCGATGTAATCAATGCCTGTTATGCAAACATTCGGGGCCCTACGCGCATTCACAAGCTCCACCGCTTCCTCAAGAAGGTACGCGTGAACGTCACTCACATCATCCAGAAAAATAAAGCAGGCCAGATCGTCATGCGAATCAAAACCATTGAGGGCCTCGCACATCAGAGTGATGGTCGGCATTTGCAGAACCCACCGCAAGTGCCCTGGCTCGGAGCAGGTCCGAAAGATGTCAAGTTCTTTCTTGATGGATCAACTCCACCTCCAGAGGGTCAACCAAAGAAGAGTGGAAAGAAAGGCAAAAAAGGCCCAGCCAAACCGGGTGGAGATTCGCCTACAGGTTCATATATTAGTGTCTACGACTATTTTAAACGCAGTGAGTAACAATATGAAAACCCCAGTCTCATCTCAGTTTCTTACGCTTCATAGACTACCCGAATGTTCCCGAGTTGAACAACGCATTTCCGGTTGTCAATGTTGGCAGCAAGGAGAAGCCAAGCTACCTTCCTGCTGAAGTCTGCCAGGTTCTGCCTGGCCAGCCTGCGAATGCCAAACTCAGCCCGAATCAAACTCAGAACATGATTCGGTTTGCAGTCAGAAGGCCTGTGGAAAATGCTACGTCGATTGTCACCAATGGAACTAAGGTGCTTGGGGTTGCCCCACAATTAAACCCTCTGCTGGTAAGCTGTTTCAATGTCTACAGTTAAAGTTCTAGCGGCAGCTGCTCACACTACTTACTTAGGCTGGTATGGGATTATCTTTGCTGCCCAACCTAATAACTGTTCCTGGTCGCGTGTTGGAGAGTCCCACCATGGTCCAGTATAAAGGACAGAACTTTAAAACCCCCCAAGCCGGGAACTGGAACCTTCAGAAGGTTGCATTCTCACAAGGGTCGCAGCTCCCTCCCTGGACGTACCTTTACTTCCAGGGCAATCGAACAAACCTAGAGGCTCTTTCAGAGAGCATTGATAGATTTGTTGATATGGCAAGGCTGCAAGGTCTCGCTGTTCCAGCACCAAGCCGACCAATCCCTGTCATTGTTCCTCACGGTCAAAGCCCGGAGGATATACCACTGGACCACTTTTTTGCTGAGATTCGCCAGCAATCCCGGGTAAGATTGGTACTAGTGATTCTACCTTTCGAAAGCCCTCAAATGTACAACCATATAAAGTATAGGGGAGATATCAAAGATGGTATACATACTATTTGTGTCGTTGCAGAAAAGTTCGGAAAGAACCAACCTCAATACTTCGCGAACGTTGCCCTGAAGTTCAACTTGAAGCTCGGAGGAATCAACCACAAGCTTCAACCGTCCAAACTGGGAATTATTTCCGAAGGTAAAACCATGGTTGTTGGTATTGATGTGACGCATCCAGCCCCAGGTTCCCTCCCCACCGCACCAAGCATTGCCGGAATGGTTGCCAGCGTGGATAAGTTTCTTGCTCAATGGCCAGCCAGCATCCGTCTTCAGCACCAGGCCCATGCAGAGATGGTCGATGATCTCGATCCAATGCTCCAATCTCGTCTTCGCTATTGGCAGAAAAACAACTCTAAGAGCCTCCCGGAGAATATCCTCATATACCGTGACGGGGTATCCGAAGGTCAGTACGGGAAAGTCCTTGAGGAGGAATTACCTCTACTCCGCAACGCATGCAAATCCATATATCCAGCCGACCAAACCAAGAAAGGCCTCCCCAGAATCACCATCATCATTGTCGGTAAACGCCACAATACGAGATTCTACCCAACCGATCTCAAAGATGCGGACAACAACTCAAATCCCAACAACGGCACCGTCGTCGATCGCGGCGTCACTGAGACGCGCAACTGGGATTTCTTCCTCCAAGCCCACACTGCACTACAAGGGACTGCCCGACCGGCGCACTACTACGTGGTCCTCGATCAGGTTTTCTTCGGGCGAAAGACTTCGGGTCGCTTCAGCAGCATTGCCGACGAGCTTGAGGACCTGACACATAATCTCTGTTATCTGTTCGGGCGAGCGACCAAGGCTGTCAGCATCTGTCCGCCGGCTTACTATGCGGATCTTGTGTGCGAGCGCGCCAGACGTTATTTGAGTAGGTATTTTGACGTGACGCCTGAAACTAGTGTTAGTTCGTCCGGCGCTGGGAGTACTGGACCTGTGCCGACTGGTGGCGATATTCTGGTGCATAGGGATCTTGCGGATAGTATGTTTTATATCTGAGTGATATCCCCGTTTCCATATCATATCCAAGGGAGATAATCGGGATTGAGAAAGTGTGCTGAAAAAGATATGAAGGATGAAGGATAGAAACCAAGGCACACGAAGTGCCGTCAACTGCTATTTTGAATTGCAGGCATGATTTTCATTTTCAGATTTGTTGATTTCTGCACCATATTCTGTTCACTTGGTTATTTGACATGGATTACCTTTCCACGTGCGCTTGAATAATCAATGACACCCAAATTTGACTAGATGACACTTAGCTGAATGGAATGTGCTTTTCACTTGTTTAATGTTTTGTAGGAAGAACTAGACCAATGAGAGTTCCGGACCATGCATGCCCAACTTGTTGGAACATACCAACACAATTATCATAACAAAATATACACATGCTTATAATCATACAGTCATACCAGATGCAAATGGGAAAATGAGAAACTTGCCCTGTTCTCTGGGCAAAAGAGTAAAGAAAATTCAGGGCGGCCGCGCCGCTTCCCCCCCCCCCCCCCCATCCTCCGAAAGGAAAAAAAATCTCCAAAAAGATACCTATCATCGAACAAGCCCCACTACCCCCTTCCTCCCCAACAACGCCACAGCCCCCTTCTTCAAACGAAGCTTCTTCTCAATAATCTCCTCTGACATCCCTTGCTTATCCCTCATCGCCAAAACATGCCTGATACTCACGACATCCAAAAACTCGCGGCCAGTGTGGCTCTGTCGGCCGATGGACTCGAATTCTCGCGCTGCTAACTTTTCCAGCTCGGTGCGGGAGGAGAAGACGAGAAGATTTGGGTTGCGGGATTTGGGGGAGGTCGTGGATGGGGGGAAGACGGTGGAAAGGGATTTCTGGTGGTTCCGCTGGGGTTGTTGGTTGAAGGGGTTAGGTGTGACGGGCCCGATGGAGCGGAGGGACGCGGCGAAATGAGGATCGCGGGCGTCAAGGTCGATTGCTATTTTTGTTTTTTCTCCGGAGAGTGGGGTTGAGCGGTTTAGTTTGTGTTTGCTTGATGGGCTTTCATTTTTTTTGTAAAATATGGAAATTGGAGAAGCTTGGAGGGATAGTTTCGCGATCCGAGCCACATAGAATTTGTTTACTCTTTTTCTGTTCCTTTCATTTTCTTTGTCTTCTGGCTTCTGGGTACAATACAAAGACAAATGACTAACCTTCTGATTTTATAGCACTCGGGTTTTGTTTTGAATGGAATACCGGTCCTGGCTGTTCCTGTCGTGCGGCTGCCCTGGCCGCTCTATCCGCCGGCGGGTTTCCACTGGGGGCGGTGGTCGACGAGGAGGGGCTCTTGGGATATTGGCGGCGTGCCGCAGCATTGGCAGCTGTCTTTATTGGTTTCGATGATGATGCGCCCATCGCAATTGTGTGGGTTGTGCGACTGGGAATTAGAAAAACGTATGTTAGCAGCCCAAGCAGATGGTTGCGAAATAGTCCAAGCTTCTACGGGAGCCCACATGCTCCAAACTGTGCAATTTTAGGACCAGAGAAAGATGTTGAGAAAAAGTGGGGCGCAAAAGAGGAAACCAGAGCAGATTCTCTAAGAATCGCATAAATTCCACTAAATTGGTAAGGTCTAGAGATAATACATGTTCATGAAATGCGTGGAGAATAACCCCAGCGTCAAACTGCAACTCCATCTTCTGATGTTCCCCGAACGAAAAATGAAAGAAGTGTCACACTACTTAGCGCAATCCTGCGAGACGTCTGTCCTGGACTTCGCTTAAAGCGCGGCTTCCACTCACAAAGGCAACGGCGCCCATTGCCAATGCAACAGGTAGCGTTTGGAACAAGTTCCATGTTGTGTAATAAAGGAAGAATATGCCCTCTAACCCAACAATCGAACCAATAAAAAAGATATGAGAGATAGGAGATGACTTTAGTGCAACCGGGAGGTGATTCATATTTACGCCCAGATAGAAGAACTATAGACATGTTAGCTATGCTTTCTCGTTGCTTTGGATGGCTATCTTGGACTAGACGTTTTTGCATACCAAACCTGCAAGTGTAGGAAAACCAGCCAAGACTGCAACGATAAACATCAGCGTTATGATGAATAGAGGGCTTTTGGGATCCGCCTTAAAGATATGGTGGATTTCCTCGCGCTTGCCATATCTGGGAGGATCTGAGGGAAGCGGTTCATTGGCAGCTTTGTCGCGGATGACGTCCAACTGGAAAACGCCGCTTTCATATCCTTTCGTTGACCCGAACGAGGCGATCACAAAATTGGCTTTGATGGGCTGCGAGGATTGGAGGAACTGAGTAGGAAGGTCTTTTTGTGCCTATATAAAGAAACGAGGTTGTCAATAATGCCTCCGATTCCATTTGTGTTGCGTTACTGAGAGAATTCCCAACTAACCAACTCCAAATTTGCCTTTCCGCTTTCCCTCACACTTAGTGGATAGGACAGGTCGAGTCCGCTATCGAGCTCTTTTAGCAGTAAAAAAACCTGGTGAGCTCTTTTGGCAGCAACGCCCTCCCGTGTCGTTAAACTAAGCTTAAGAATATCTGACTCTCCGAAAGGAACCGGCTTCGATAGTAGTTTATTCTCCGATAACCTAATTACTCCCCACATAGATAGAGATAGTCAGCAGCAGAACGGAATATCTACAACTGAATGTATCAGGCATGAGGGAAAGAAGAATATAACGCACTTCTGCTTCAATCCACTGCCACCTCCAGCACCCGTCTGTGCAATTGAGACCACCCCATCATCAAACCCCCAGCTAGAAGCAGCCCAGGAAGAAGGGAGTGCTGATAACAGGAGACCAGCTCGGAGAAGTGGCCGCAGCTGCATCCTCGGAAGTAAGGCGGACTTGAGACCCGAGAAAAAGATGTCTTTTTCAAGCAAGGCTGTCCGGGAAGCAGATCAAAGTCTCAAGCCACCGCAATTGAGCAGGTTAAATCCACTCCAACAGCCAATAGGACATTCAGCGACAGTTGGCTTGTGGTTGGTGATCGCGAGTCTTGTCTTGTCTTGTCTTTGGCCGCGGACAGGAAAGCTGGCCACTGCTCCTGCTTTGGGTCTAGCGTGTCACACTAGGCCATGTTGGGCCGCAAGCCCTAATTGTTTTCTCCTTAAGACGACATTCACAGTCTTTAAGTGTAGTCTGCAGCTTCAACACCACAATCTCCACACCGGAGGAGATAATTACTACCAGGCAGCTGTTGTGCTCTGGATGGAATCAGCAAATGCCTCCTCACACTTGACATGCATATTACCGTCATTGCCCTGAAGAGTCGCCAGCCCTGCACTCTTGTCTCTTCGTCAAATCTTAGGGCTGTGGCAGCAACTAGACTGGTTGGACTTTCAGGCTGTCTCCCACCAAACGAAGCGGTGTGGGTTTGGTTGAAAAGCAAATAGTATAAGAAATATCTGCGATTCTTGTGCTCTATGTTCATTTTCTATTCGGCCTCTGCTGTTTAGATCGCAAGAGCTGCCATAAGTAGTAAGTAGTATAAATCCTCGTCGAGTTAATGACCCGTCTCTCAGTGAAGATTTTGAAAATATTCCAAATACAACACATTAGTTCCCCGAACCAAGTACCTCTTGTCTTGTGTTATATATTATCTATTTGAAATATGCTCTTAACAGCTTACCTTGTTCTTTTAGGCTGCAGATATCGCAATTGGCAATGAGTACGGGAGCGACTATCCTGGTAATTGACCAATTCTTAGCTATCTTAACCATCGTACATTTATGAGTTCTCCCATTAATTCAACATGGCATCCATGGCAGGCATATAGCAATGCCCACCCGCTTGTTGTAGAGCGGCCAATAGTCACAGTGTTGGATGATGACACCGGTTCTGCGAGCTTCTCACGAACTTCTCCGTCGTCGGGCACATCGCGCACATCGTATGCCTCAACTCGATCCAATTGCCCTCGCGTAACAGAGCGCCAACGGAATAATAACTACAGTCTTCAACGCTCTAAAAGGGGTAACGACAGTTGGGTTCCCGGTGTATTTTCTGCTTCTGGGATAGGGAATCACAGTCAGGGCTCTTCTGAACCTCTATTTTCCTCCCCACTTGGTCATGCTGTAGGCAACCATGATAGAGTTCTACCTAAGGAACGTGAGCCCCAGCCTGCGGATGCGTCAAAGTCTGGTTTATTCAACCTTGTGAAGTATCCATGGGGCAATAATCCAATTGCTGTGGCGATATGGTTAGCTCAAAAGATCAACAGTATCAAAAAAAGCCAAGCTCCGCAGTCGTGGATGCAAGACTTAGAACAGGACGCGCCAACAAGCAATTTCTCTCGAAGGCCGGGGCGCCGTCATAGTCAGTTACCGAATGGCGTATCTTTATACGCCGTTAGTGAAGTTCACTTTCCTCGTCCTACCAAGCCCTGTCGTAAGTACTGTCCAAAAATCACTCCGCGCGACACACCAGGGTGTTTGCCTAATTGACTTGTAAACCTCTATAGAATCTAATAATAGAAACAATGAGGAGTGCCAAACAGAAATCGATATAGAACGCCTTTACGGAGAACAAAGGCCGTCGTTGGATTCTTTTTCTACCCAATCCTTTTGTTACCAGATGGATTTGGAAGCACGAAGAATCGCACCAAGTCTGGTCAGATTAAAGTCTTTCAAACCAGGATATGGAGATAGACTATTTGGCATAATGGCGGACGATCATCAAATAGATGTGGACACAGCTACTGCAGGGAAACTTGTGGTAGATGTTCTTGCTACATTTACTTGCTCAGAATTGCAATCACAATGCCAAGCAGCTACGGATGTCCTGATTAAGGAGCTTGACAAGGAAACATGTCAATCTCCACGATTTACAAAAATATTTACGATGCTGTCGAACGACCCTATTGTGACAAAAGCTGTGGATTTCATTGTTGCACAAATCAACTCCTGTGAATTTTCCTTGGGGTTGGATGGTGAATATGATGGAATCAGGAGCTTGTCAAACCGCCACAACCATCCCAAGGTATCTCATTCACCACAATCCGTCAATAATGAACAACTGTCTATTGATACTAGGTCTCTGGAAAATGATCCCAACAGATCCCGGTGCCGGCCGCCTACGTCTTTTTCCCTCTTCTCCTCCCCTCATCCTTCTGGTCACTTCTTGCCAGAAAACACTCCCACTGATATCACCTCCGTGTCTATGATTGAAACTCAAAGTACATATATCCCAGAAAGCGTAACGCCTTCCATAATGCCGCCTCGTCAATCGAACCGCATCAGGAAGCCCACACTTAGGGCAATAGAGGCCAAACTCAGCTCGCAGGCGAGGCCGAGAGTCAAAAGCCGGGAGCCAAAAGCCTCGAAAAAGCTCGAATCTCGGCCCACACAAACCGAAGAGACTATCGCAAGAACCAGCAAGGAGTATAATGATGTTAAAAGCGGCGTAGATGTCACGAACAGGGAAGCTTCGGACAACACTGACAATATTGATCTGACTCCACCCGTGTTGGCAAAGAGGCCTATGACCGCGCTCTCTACTGACGAAATTGCAGCGATGGCCAGAAATGATGCTCAAAGGAGGACCGCTGCCGCAGGGCAACCAAAAAGAACTACGATCTCTCGCTCTATCGACGAGATTGCATCAGCTTCCAGCCTCAACAGGCTGATGGACACAGGTATATCTAGACCCACGTTGCCCAAGCAGCAACCGAAGCCTCCCAAGTCAACAACGCTATCTTCTTCTGCCACGCGTGCTTTGACCCCGGAAACAAATGCTATGGTGGAACAACTTCTAGATCTAGCAACGGCTGCTTCGAAACCCGATTTCCAACCAGAAATTAAAATTGATCTCCACAAAGCTCGTCGGGATTGGTATGCTGAGCAGCTGGCAGCTGCTTTGAACAAGGCCGCTACCGAGAAATCCTTAGAAACAAATTGGGCGCAAACACACCAGGAGACGATCCCAAACGGAGATCTTCCTTCTTCCCAGCCTACTCCTTCCAATCCAAATTCTCATTGGCTAGAGACTAGCGTTGCTACCCCTGCCACCCAGACAGAAGATATTGCACTCAGCATAACTGGCCATGCCGATTCTGCTTGTGCAGCCGCTAAGGATCTCGATATCCCGGCAGGTATGGCTGCGGCTCTTGCCAGCCCATTCTCACAGGTGGACAGCACGGCAGAACAAACAAGCATGGAACAGCTAACTACAGTGGAAATACCTGTTTCTGATAAAGCTGTGGAGCTGGACGTGTCCAAGTGGCCTATTTCGAGCACCAACCAGAAGTTTCTTGACCCATCTATCTTGTCCCATTCCTACCTTCCTCGCCCGTGGACTGACAATGATGGCTGGATCCATACCGGACTTGGAAACGACCATAACGAAGAAGACGTCATTGTTCCTAATTCTTATACATGGGTACGACCCAGGGATTCGTTCAATAACCCCCGTATCGCTCCATCACCTCCTCGGCTGAAGTCCCTTATCCAAATCGAAATTGACGATGTATTCGGCTATCCTCCCCCAGGCCGAAAGCCAAACCTTCCACAGGATCTAGAAGGCCAATTCGTCCCAGAGGATGTTGCGGTGGAAAAGGAGAAAGCCAAGGTTTTCCGTGCAGCTCGGATTCGAGGCATCGCCATCGATCGCTCAGCCCTGCTGGAAGATATTCGGCTTGCCATTAAAAAGCACGATGAAATTCAGGCTGCGAACGAGACAGCTTCAGGTTCCAGTGATGGAATTGAAACTGCCAATGGAAAAGCACCTGGGAAGTCATCCGACACATCTGCTGGAACAAGCAAGAGAACCAAAGCATCGCGGAAACGGAATGCAGGTCAAGCCTTGGGGATTGCTGCTCAGAAAGAGGATGAGGACGACCCTCACGAAAATTTGGGCAATATATCAAGAAATAAAAAACGTCGCCTAAACATTGATGTGCCAATTGCCGAATCGAGTAGCGCGGCTTTAGGACATGGAAGCGAAAGTGGAAGTCCAGCAGATGGGGAAAATGTGGAAATAAATTTAAAGCCGATTTTGCTTGCACCTCGTGGCCCGGGTCGCCCATCAAGAAGTGCAGCGGCCATTGCTGCGACTGCTGCGACCGCTGCAACCCGTGGGGCTGGAAAAGCCCGCCAGCGCCGCAAACACACTCAACTCCAAGCTCATCCTGAATCCATTACTCCACCAGCGAGCCAATCAGTTACAGATGAGCCTGCGAATAACTCTATTGCTACCAAACCCAAAGACCGTCCCGCTACCGAAAAGGATGCTGTTTCTGTCCCTTGCCAGGGCGGGCAGGATTGAAATACTTGCCCTTTAGAATATAGAGATGGACTACGGATATTTGTTTCCTTTTACTCTTATTTCACCATCACCACCTCATTAGTTGCATGGGTATCTACCCCATGTATAATTTCCTCCTCACGTCCGAACGTCATTTTTATTTTCCATATCCCGGAATCAGCATCGAGAAACGAGGGGGAAATGAAAGGAAGAAACCTCGGATTATCACTGTACATTACGACAGAAAAACAGAAAAAGTCGACGAACCATATTTTGTGCCCAATTGGAGTTTGTTGGAGTTTGTTGGCCTTTTTTTTTTTATTTTTTTTTTTTTTTTTTTATATTCGCATTCCCTCCTTGTCCAGGTTATTGTATATCCATCAAAAACGAACTGCCTCCCAGAGGCAATGGAAGAGGAACTAACGTTCGGCTGAATTGAGGAGTTGCCAGTTCATTGAGTTATGTGTCAACATGAATGTACAGCGTGTGACGGTGTGAATTTGTCTCTAAGAAAAGAAAAACGGATCAAGCATGAAGGCACTGCCAGCGGTGATCGGAGTTGTTTTGGAGTTTCATTCCTAGCCGTGGCCTTCTATCGTACTACGAATAAGCCAGTGAGATTGACGCGCAGTTTGTGTGCAATTTTGGCGTTTGAAGTGCCTGGTGACTTTCTCTGTGGATATTCTATTCATTTCTGCCTCTATGTCTATCGCTCATGTACCATACACTATTACTTTGTCTCGATGTGGGTGAGAATATAAATAATAGCATGTACTGCATTTCTCCTTCCATTGCGCTGTGTTTCGATCATTTTGCACGCCCAATTGCTTGCCGTGCGAGGGACTAGGTCTATCGTGAATAGAGGGATTGTCGTCGAAGCAGACAGACTTCACCTACTATACTGGTATTTATTCCACTCCTCGTTTGGTGAAGATAACAAAGGCTGATATACACGGCCTAATATTAATATATATTTCATCCACAAAAGCAAGTCGCATCACGCTTGTATCATGCATCCATCATTCACCACAGGCCAGGCTCTGTCTCGATACCGTTTTCTAGATTTTCTACATGCGATGCGCGCCTTTTCATCCATATGAACTGTACAAGGTATCTTGAATATGTAGCTCTCAGACACCCACCCAATGCCTCATTGATTTGCCGTTTCAAACTTTCGCGTATCTCGAACACGCGCAGCTTAAATTCGCCCCGAGTTTCTTTGGTCTAGGAAGTTAGCGCAGGCACAGATTGACAGGCGATGCGATCTGTCCTGCCTATCAGCGAGCCGAATGGGCCTCTGACGACAGGGAATATATCCAAAGCTTGACTCAATGCCGTAATTAAGGGTGGAAGGTTATTGTCGCGTTATTCTGTTTCGTTGCAAAATCTAATTTGCACGCGAGTTCTTGCCCTTCTGTTGTTTTGACATCTTTATTTATTAACCTATTTATTCTTGCCTTTTGTTCTAAATGCATCAGAATAACTAACACCTTCGAATCGGAATACAATATTCATATCCAGAAACATGTCCAGCACCCCAGACGCTGTCGCCAAAAAACGCGGTCGACCAAAGAAAGTTGTCGTGGCGCCGGCAATCGAAAAAATTTCCACCACGGCCTCGAAATCGACGACTATCACTCCAGGCACAAGCAAAAAGCCAATCTCGACCACGACGCCAACTCCAAGCAAATCCCCGCTCAAATCCTCGCGCAAAACCAATTCCTCTCCAGCATCGGAGTCTCACGCCGCAGCCAGCGCGCCAATTGACCAGAAACCCGCAGCGAAGAAAGGCAGCCGGACTCGGCTGAAGAAAACATCCATTTCTTCGCCTGACTCGTCGCAAGAACCGCTGGAAACACCCAGTGATAGTAATAAGGCAAAGAACGAGACAGCGCACGTGAAATCTAGACCCAAGGCCGTCGCATCGAATCCACCCACCGAACCGTCCATTGAGTCGTTAACTCCATCCGCAGAATCGAAGTCGATTTCTCACACACAATCTACAGAGTTACCAAGGAAGCGAAAAGTCACCGGAGGGAGGCAGCCGGAAACCAGAAGCACAGTTCAATCTGTGGGGGGGATAGAGCCATCTTCTGGCGGCAGGGAGACAATAGAGCAAGAACAGCACGCGGGCCAGACAAGACCTGCAAATCCCGCCGACGCTGGTGCAGCCGTGAAGGGCTCCTATATCCTTAACGCTTTGGCGGCCAGCAGGAAATCGACAGGAACCGCAACGTCCGTAGAGGACAAAACTAGGATCCCAAGGGCCACAGAGCCCTCAACCGAAGCTCTATCAACAACATCAACGGACATGCCTCCTCTGGCACGCAAGAATGCCTCGTCGTCTGGGCCACGGCAGCGCCTGTCTCAACCACCGCCCATCAAGCCACCGTTGATCCAGACTGCTTCCGCTCACAGAGAAGCACAGCGGTTAAAACCGCAACAAGCTCCGGTTGTCAATCCGCAGGATATCAGAAATACGAAACAATATAAAACTGCTGCGAGAAGGTAGGTACTTGACAACAATAAAATTCCTTCCTTTGGGATCCATGGCTATTCCACATTTACAAAACGCCATTTTCGCTCTTCCATTGCCAATCCTTCATTCATCTTCAATAACAACTGACAATTTCCTGCGTATTTACTCTCTTGCAGATGGACATCGGTAATGGTCGCGTTGCCAATTCTGTTATATACCAGTTACGCCCTCTATGAACGAGGTAAGATGTTCTAAAATCCCTGTCCATCTGTCTCCCAAAATCCCCTCCAGAAAAACTTATACCGATACCCCATGATCTGGAAACTTGCCATTGTCTATGTATGTCTAACAAAAAAAAAATTTTTTTCTGCATAACGAAACAGTCTTCACCGATAAAGCCCCCCGTAGTCTGCCAGGAACAAATAATTTCCCACCAGTCAGCGACAATTCCCCTTCCCCTTCGCCATCATCTACATCGACGCCAGCGTCTACGACTATGACCCAAGACAATTACAACGGTTGAAAAATTCTTCGCCCTATATTAGAATGAATATACTGGCCACAGGATAGCGATCTGACTTAACGCCCTTTCCCTTCCGGCCCGGTATGTTCCATTGTTTTTCTTTCCCTTGCGGTTGAAGCCCCTCAGGGGTGTTTTGATGGTTTGCAATACCTACCTCCTCCGCCTCCCCTCACCCGATCCGCTCCGCTCCTATGACAGCATACCATTCGCTTGTATTTATGATGCTCTTGCCTGTCTTGAATGAGTTATTTGCACACGTACAGGGTAGATAGCGCGTGAGCTATCCAGTTCATCCTCTCTCTCTCTCCTCTCTCTCTCTCTTTTATCTCCCCTTGAAGAACTCGCTGCTTACTCGCTCAACGGCCGCCTGCACACACGCTTGTGTATATATGTATATGTAATGTATATAGATGTTTTGGCTTTTGCGTTATGTCCCATCAATTTTAATGATTTATTTATGCATTTTTTTTTTCCCCCATGTATTTGGTGTATTATCTATCACTGGGGTTTGGACGAACATACCAATTCATAAGTTAGAGTGATTATATTTAAATTATATCGAATTAAATCATAGAAAAACCCAAGGAAGGAAAAAAAAAAAAAAAAAAATTGAATATTTATGTCAAGAAATTCCTCAATTGTTGTCTCCGTTCTCTATACGTAGTAGTATTGAGCATCTAGATCATCTCTCGTTGGAACTTAAGATTCGTGCAGCCGTTAAAGGGGGAAGTAAAATCCAGGGGGAAGGGGGTGGTATAGAACATGCTACTAACACAGAAATTTCAAGAAATGAGAACCAGAAAGAGGAGAAGATAAGACTGGGTGCAAGGAGTCAGCCAGTTGGTGCTAGAATCTCGGGAGAATTGATAATGAGCAAAATCAAATCCGAGATGGAGGCGTAGCGAGATATATACCTAAGCGTGGGTATCATCAAATACCATCAAAGGCCGTAAAAGAAAAATCCGAAAATTCTGAAATATAAAAAAGAGGGCCAATTCGCTCCGGATCGCCTGTTTAACCTCTAGAGTCAAGATTTTCTCTCTCTTTTTAACTGTAATTTGTATTTTTTCTTTCTTTTCATCTTTCAAGTGAAACATTTTTTCCAATCTCCCCCTCGCCGGGCATAGCTCAACGCCTCCACGAAGTCGTCCAACCGACACCTCCCCAACGCATCAACTTTGCACCCATGCAGCGGCATAACCCGGTCATTAACCAACACACGAACCAGCGGCTCTCTGGCCACAGGCGTCGAATCACATTCCATCTTCTCAATATACGCCCTGCTACCGAACGGGACAGTCCAGGCGGCAGACAAGCCCTGGTTCTCCGCGGGGCTCTGGACGGTCGTGTTAGAGAGCAGTTCCGTGCCGTTGAAGAGCCCCAGCGCCGTGAATATGGACATCATGGTGGTATCGTGGCTGAAGTCTGCGTACAGGGACAGGCCAAGCGGGAAGGCTTGAGGGTCGGAGTCCAGCGTGTGGTTGACAGTGGTGGAGTCGATCACGGGCTTATTATTGAGGCGGGATATTAGCTCGTTGACGAAGCCGACGCCCTGGCTAGCGCCGAGCGGGTTACCACTGCTGTAATGGTAGTATTTTCCTAGAGTGCCGTGGTAGTCATATTGGGTCCATTCTTCGGCAGTGAAGAGGCTGCAGATAGGGGAGATGGTGCTTGCGTCTTCAGTGAGCGCGACAGTTTGAAAAGGGCAGATATCCATTAGGTGGGGAATGTCTGGTATGTCGAGGTTCGCGCCGATGAGGTGAGATTTGACGCGGTTGAGAATTGGAGGCACAAAAACTTCTGCGAATTCTGATTGTGCAAGGCGGCCTGTTTGGGAATTTTCAAAGACGCTGCAAGTGCCGTGGTGGAGGGTGTTGTTGAAACCCGGTTCTTCGCTGATTATCAGGTCTATGGACGGTTTGCGGGTTTTATCGATTGCAAACGGGTCCAGCACTTTCACGTGGTGGAAGCCATCGATGAAGTTTTCGGCAGAGTGGATTACCCTTTGGGATCCTGATGCGCGGATGAAAATGGTCGAGTCTTTCGCTAGATGCTGATAACGACGGTAGAATTTTGCCCCAGAGTCGATCATCTGAGACGACCCAAAAGGCGTAAGGTTATCAGACTGCAATTGATGGTCGAACTTTTCTAAAAACGCGAAATCGCCAGTGTATGTCTCGGTGCTGTTTTGGATGCGCTCAATGAGTTGCGTGTAGAGAAAAGTTTTGTGTTTTGTTGGATACCTTGCTCCATGCCTCGACAGCACTTGAACGAAAGTAACGTTGCAACCAATGGGAATTTGCGGAGAAATATGTGAGATAGTGCCCAGAGAAAAGAAAGGGGAATTGGGGCCCCATAGTTGAGAGTATTCCTGGTGGCAACGGTATCCGTCCTGCACCGTGCTGCATAACAGGCCCCGACCAGAATTACGGGAAACGCTGTGGCATACATATACATTATTAGCAGGTTTCCAATTTCGATGGTTTTGATGAGGGATGATCTCATCGCTTCAGTTTCTTACAATGTATAAATAAACACTCCACATATCACTATCAAGATAGTAACAGCGGAGAGAGTAACGCAGCGTTCTCTTAAAGCGGGAACCGTATGTTTTCGGTCCAAGTGAGGCCACTGGCGTCTGCGAGAATCCCGAGATGTTCTCGATTCAGCATCTTGTTCCCCAGGGCCGTTGCCGTCTCCGTCATGCCTGGCCAATAGCGCTGTTAGATCGTTGATTTCTACCATTGCCTAATCGCTCTGTGAGGCAAGAGAAACACCAGGCCCCATGCTGGCTATCAATGAAGAAGCCAAAGGAAACGCCTCGATATAAAACAGCGTACTCCGTACAGCACCACTCCACTCCCCACACACAAAAAAAGCAGAGGCGAGATGGAATCCTTGAGATGGAGTCTAGAGAGGATGAGAGGAGGCTCTGCGAGCCAATGCCCGCTTCACATGCGCGTTTGACTGGCTGTCGCAGAGCCGCTGCTAAACCTTCCTCAAACGGTACCTCCAGTAGGTAGGTGCCGGAGTCAGGTGATTTAGCAGCCCTTCCAAGGTTGGCTTTGGACTCCTCGCAATCGTCCGATGGCAAGCAGCAGTCGAGTCAAAGCGAAACGATGGTTAGTCGAGGGAAAGCTAGCCAGCAAACGGAACTTGAGCGGACTGCGAGTTTGAAGGAACACTGCGAGAAATAAAGAAAGAAAGTGGGATGGGGGTCACAGGATAGAAAACGCTGAAAATTTGATCCGCAGCCGGTTAAACGACGTGGGACCAGACAAGCCAAACTGGAGGGGTGTGTCACGAAAATGAAGGGTAGC